TTCCTTTGTATGAGTGCCTTTAAATTTCGGCCATAGGCCTATTGTAATGCTCAGATTTTTATTCTTCATTTCAAGATAGAAATACACTGGTTGTATTCTGTTTTCAAATCCTAATTTCTATATCTTAAGGTTGGTTTCCTTAAGTGTGAGTGTTAGGTTCTAGTTATTTAATTGAGTGTGTAATATCTTAATTAAATTCTAGACTCAAACCCCAAGTGAGGATAAGAGTGTGTTATATCTCTTAAAACCTACTTGGTTTTTATCCCTTTTCCCCTCTTATTTTCCCTTCCAAATTTTCGGCCCTCCTAAAAAGCACAACCAGTATCCCCCTTTTTCTCCCCTATTCTTATGCCTTTAAACCATCTTAAAAATCAACCCTTCATCCTCCTCCATATACTCGACCAGTCCACTCCCCTCCCTTTCCAAACCCAAGCTTAAATATATCAGTCTGGGTAACTCCGCCGTCTGGTTTCCTCAAAGTTAATGTGGATGTGTCTATAGGTCTTGTTGATGATGCTGTTACTGTTGGTTTTCTTGCTTGAGAGTCAAGATCATAATGGCACATTTGTGGCAGCAAAAAACTTTAATTGTAGAGGAAGCTTTGGACCTCGAGAAGCGGAAGCTATAGCTGTTAGAGAAGCATTGAGCTGGATTAAAACTAACGGTTGGCGGAAAGTTATTTTAGAGACTGATTGTAAGGAAGTTGTTGATGCTCTGACAACTACAACTCATGATTGGTCATATTTCTTTTCAATTATTCTCGATTGTAAACATCTTTTGGCCGATTATGGCAAAGATGTAGTCTATAATTTTGTTTACCGCTCTGCTAATGAGACTGCATATCTGTTAGCGCGAGCTTCTCATCTACCTCAGATTTTGGGAGAGTGGGTTGGTTGACTTGGTTCTCCTCCCGACTTTATTACTCATTCACTTTAATAAAATTTACAATCATAAAAAAATAACTTCTTCTGACCATAGTATATATGTGTGCGCGTGTGTGACTCTTTGTGTGTGTATCTGGGGGCATCCTTATGCAATAAATTGCCAGACAATAAGCAACTAACAATGATGCTAAATGACAACAAATAAAGGGCATAGGATAATGAAGACAACGTGGATATGCATACATTACCTGAACTATCATGAAAACTGCTCTCAAAAGTTGAACGAAACTTTCAGGAGACAGGCTCCTCAACCTGCTTGCCAGTGATGAGCCTCCACCTGAGCCAGCATACAAATTCGGTTAAAATTAATAAGGTCCGCCCGCTTTCCAAACATCAAGGCACTTTACTCAATAAGTAAAAAGCTTTCAAAGTATCTCATCCTCATCCCAATGATGAGATGGAATACTATGCAATTCGCAGAATGTACAATTGTATTTTCATTTCCAGTGAAAGAACCTGCCTATGTGCAACAGTGAGAAAGATATATACCACAGGCATTCCTTTCTATGACAATTAACTCTGTTCAGTTTAGTCGAGTAGCTATGAAAATGCAACATGGAAAAAGTCTGCCTACCCTCTGTTTCTCCAGCTAGCTCTCCAGTGACAAAATCAGAATCAAGAGGTTGAGTGCCAAGAACTGGAAGCAGCTCTTCAACTGCCATCTTTATAACTGTTTTCATATCAGCTGTAAGAGTATCACGATACATCCTCAATACAGCAGGGAGTTTTGCCTAAAAATCAAATGATAAATCAAATAACATCCTTTAGCAACATCTATATAACAGATATCATGTTTTAAAATGTCAAAAATAGACAGTTAAATGAAAACAATGGACAGGTAAAATAAGGCCTTGTGATTCATGCACTTGAAGATAAGCACGCATGCAAACAGAAAAGAAAGATGGAGAGAAAGAATCTTTTCAAGGTTATGTGTACCCAATATTGCTAAACAAGTTAAAGAATCTGCTTTAACGTTGTGTGCATACATTTAGGCATTGTTTAGATTAGGTACAAGATGGTTATGGTGTGATATTTGAATTGTATGTATATAAAGCTATTAGGAGTATAATATTACCATTCAATATTACTGTTTTCTTTGATAGCATGGGGCGTGATAGGATTATAATAAACAATGGAAATTGAATATGGAAAAACACCGAATCGGTGCTTTAAAAATCTTTAGAAAATCCATAACCATGAATTACGAATGGTAATTTACCATCGAAAATCATATCATGGAATTAAAACTAGAAACAAACATGGTTATCAATTTTATATACCTTGGAAGACCATGATAAACAACAAACAAAAAATGCCTTAGACACAGCCAATTCATTCAGTCCAATATTGGTTAAGAGTTTGTGGTAGTTCAAATAATGGGAAGTCACAATTTTAATTGTCAGCCCATTATCAATTACCCACTATTCGAATCCCAACTTTCAACACAATATAATTACTAGCCCATATGTTCAATTGAAATCCACTCTGCTTTACACCAACATCAGATATTTGCAAATAATGCTCATAACAAATCATGATCGGTCCTCAGGAGTTACATTATACTGGGTATTCTGCTCTTGGGATCAAAGAGAGGAATCAAATTTCTATTCTGCCACATATATTAAAATTGTAGCAATGCACGTATTAGCTAATTGCATACTCTTGATAAACAGCAATTATTATGATGCTTCAACACTTCACCGTTTAAAGAATACTCACAGTTCTAAGCAATCCAATAACAAGAGGAAGAAGCCGATCTCGGAGATTGGAGCTTTCTTCTTCATCCAATCTAACCTGCAATGCACCAAGCCACCAAAGATATTTTAAGAATTGTGTGATGCATACCTTTACAACAGTAAGCCGGCGAAAGAGACTGACCATTCATCATTCTAATACAATCAAAGTATGGACATTGTTCTACATTTTGCTAAAGTTTAGTCAGACGCCTGACCAGCCCTCACCTAGGCAGGCAGACAGATATGTAGGCGGGGATTTTAATGGGACATTAACATGCTTTTTGTACATTTCAATAACAGAACTATAAAACATAACATGGCATCTTTTGTGGAATGATAGGTTTAGAGTGCATTTAGTATATTCAAAGATCAATAACGAGAGCTGCTGAGCTTCACAAAATAATCCTAAAACACTAGTTATAAAGAGTATTTAATTTAGTAACACCGTGATTAATTTAAAGACTGACTATTTGTACTAAGAATGTTTCATTCTCATTTTTTAGTTAAAGAGTAATTCTTAACCAGGCCATATGAAGAGTTCATCGTGGTGTGCATTTATGAATAGAGTAATGTATTTTCACGGTCACAGAGAATTCAACTTATTAACCAATATGACATCAAGTTTTTTAAAGATTTTTCACAACCTTAGATCTTAAATCCAATAGATCATATGCATTCTCATTTCTCTAGTGGTACATTCAACCTAATTTGAACCAAACATATATATATATATATATATATAGAGAGAGAGAGAGAGAGAGAGAGAGTAAACTTCCAAAATGGTCCTTTCTAATAGGGTATTTTCTAAAATCAGTCCTCAATAAGTTCTAATTATCTATGTGGTACTTCATAATTGAGATTTATTCCCTAGATCCTCTGTAGAAAATGTCCCTTAAGTGTCAATTAAGTGGATAATATTTTGGTATTTTTCATCATCTAAACTTAGAGTAAGTTCTCTAAATGATCATTTCTAATGAAGAGTTTTCCCAAAATGGTCTTTTCTAATTAAGGAGGTGTATTTGATTCAAATTTTAAAATAATTTATAGAGTTTTAATAATTAATGGATTATGTATAGTCATTAGTCAGTGATTGTTTTGATTTTTATATGAAATTGTATAGAAATGACCATTTTTAGAGTTTACTTTAAAGGGGTGTATTCAATCCAGATTTTAAGGGATCCTGATAGATTGCTAAGAATCCACGGATTCTGTAAAGTCGGCAGACTATTTTAAGTTTAAGCAGAATTAGATATATTTTAATGTATTTTATCAACAGGATTTAATAGGATTCTAGCAAATTATTTATGATACATGGATTATTTATACATATATTTGAATTATTTTAAAAATACTAACACTGTTTTTTCCTTTTCCTTTTCTTTTTTCCTTTTTCTTTTCTTTTACTTTGTATCTTTTTATTTTCCTTTTTTCTTTCTTCCTCCCCAAGAACCCTAGCCGTCGCTGCCTTTTCTTTTTAATCTTGTTTCTTTCCTGTGCCGGCTCAGCTACCAAGCAGCCACCACTGTCACCACCCAGATTCGCCGCCACTGTTGTTGATCCCTCGTCAGCGCCGCCAATTTCTTACTTTTGCCGCAAAGTGGAATACCAAACATAGCAGAATAGGGGCTCGAACAAATTGCAATTATTCAATTAAAAATTGAATTGATCATGTCCCCACAACGAATCTCTCCAGCTGCATAGATTCACATTTCTCCGATCGCATATTTTGCTGAGGTAGTCTAGACTCTAGATTGTGTGGCAATTAGAAGGATGAACATTGCGTGCAGAAGAGAAAAGGATAGGATTTTACAAAATCTTAAGGGCTTTGGTTGGATTTGCAAACAAGGTTTGTATTTATACTCAAAGCCAAAAATCCATCACAATCCATATTTTATAACAATCATTGAGAATCTATCAATTTTTTAGTATCATTAGATTTAGAAATACTTTTTAAAATCTCAATTGAATACCTCCAGATTTCAAATGATTTTTAAAAATCTCAATTGAATACCCACTGACTTTTAAAATACAAAAAAATCCATCAAACACCTGATTAAATACACCCCCCTAAGTTTAGATAATAGAAATACCATAACACCCTCCAATTTATCGCCATTTAAGTGATATTTTTACGAAGGACTACTTAGAGAATAAATCTCAATTATAAACTACCATGTAAATAATTACAAGTTATTGAGGACTAATTTGAGAAAACACCTCATTAGAAAGGACCATTTTGGTAATTTACTCTCTCTCTCTGTGTATGTGTGTGTGTGTGTGTGTGGGCATGCGTGTGCGCGCGTGTGTGCGTGTGTGTGTGAGTGTATACATATGAGCATGTGTGTGTGTGTGTATATATGCTCCGTATACGCTGTTTAATTTTGCGCAGTGCACCTTTTGATAACCCGCCTCTCGCCTTTCAAAACAATGGTGTCGAAGCATTTAAAATCTTGACTATAACTATCTAGCAACAAATTTATACAAAAATGATGGGTAAATGATAAGTGCATTCAATGAGGAACACGTAAACAACACCGCACTTACTTCATTTTCATCTCCATTCATAGCTATAGTTGCTTGAGCTTTAAACTTTGATGTTATTGATGCATCCATGTATCCGGATTGATGTATAGACGTACACATAAATTCTGCTGAAAGAATGCTACAATACTGAATTCGTTTAGTCATGAAACCAATGTATATATTTACATACTTGTTTTTTATGTGTGTATATACACACATATGGAATAGTTCTTTTTTCATTTTTTGGTTGGATACAATGTAATGAAGGGGTCTGAAGCATAATATTATTTCCAGAGAGATACTTTTAAAATAAAAAACAAAATTTCAGGAATCACTTGAGCAGTAACTCACAAATAGCTATGCATTAAGATATGGCCATTTGAGACGAGAAGTGTCAATGCTGTTCTAGGCCTTGATCCTTGAACCCATGGCATATGGTGAAGTGGTTATCAGGTTAGCACTTTTAAAGAGGGTAGGTGCAGATTTATATCGTCTTGTAGATAACATTTCTCTAAAATGGAAAGAGATACTACAAACAAAGATTAACACACTAGCACCACTTATTCTAAGGTTTTGGCATTTCTTGACTAAAAAGAGTTGTGAAAAGGAAGAAGGCACCAGGAAGTTCTAAAACAGTAACAAAGCTATCCGTTGTTCAAAACCACTATCCATTGAAAAGAATCATTGCAGTTGTTATTACATTAAAAAGAAGCACAGCTCTATCAACAACAGCAAAAAAATGCACAACCTACCTTATATCCTTACAACACAATTATTCTAAACAAATTATGCCACATTAACCTTGACATGTTTTTAACAACAACAACAACCCAGTTAAATCCCACAAGAGTAGGGTCTGGGAGGGTGTGTGTACGCAGACCTTGCCCCTACTCGAAAGTAGAGAGGCTGTTTCCAAAGAAACCCCCGGCTCAACGTCGAAAGTTGCATTGCTTGACTAACTGCTACTTCATTAATTAAAGAAGCGCAGACAGTTTAGAGATCCATTTTGATTTATTCCATCACACCCCAAAGCCAAAAAATGGTGAAATTTTGGCTCCATCGGAGATGATGGAACACCAGAGAAGCCAAGCAAGCTAAATTAATAATAGCTTCATCACAACTATTCAGTTATTTCGAAACAGATGATAAAACATATAGCAGCCGAACCTGTTAATGGAGTCAATTGAAGCAGCTAGTTGATCACGAAGGTGGCGGAAGCAGTGTAGACCAGCCAATGCATCCTCATCCTATCAAACAGGAAATAATCAACAAACTTAATTACTACCTCAGTAAACACACCTGGATTTTTCTGTGAATATTTCAACACATATTATGTCAAGCTAATAAACAACCATTGCATAATAGTAGTAGTAGTAGTAGTAGTAGTAGTAGTAGTAGTAATAATAATAATAATAATAATATGGTAATAGTAATAATAATAATAATAATAGTAATTATAATATGGTAATAGTAATAATAATAATAATAATAATACTATTTGAACCAGTAACTAATGTTATAAATTCAAGAGTAAATATAAACTAGAAGATATATGACCAACTGCAAATATACCAACAAATGCTGCAAATCATCAGTTACATCTAAAGCTCCAGCACAATCTGCAGACGCAACAAGCTGCATGAAAAGAGTGAATTCCTGGTTAGCCTAATACCAAACATGAAGAGAATTTCTAGTTAAATAACTCACTCCTCAATACAAGTTCTAGAAAAGCTATATCATACTTCGAAGTACATTAATCAGTGAGTTACCCAAATGGAAAATTGCAAGGTTCAATTCAGAAATTCAGTTACACAAATTCAGATACTCTGTTACTCGCAATTCCCCATACAAAGGAATTACTGACTCGCTATGGCCCTACTAGTAAGGGCTGTTTACTAGAGCTTATCTCAACTGAACTGAATGGTAATACACCGGGGTTACAACTTACAAGTACTGAATTGAATAGATCTGAATGAAAGAAACTTAATAATAAAAATAACAAAAACAAACACAACAACAACAATAATAATAATAGTAATAATAATAATAGTACTGATAATGTTTAATATAGAAACAAATAATAATAATAATAATAATAATAGTAGTAAAATAAATAATACTCCTTTCATCCCAAGAGATCTCTGTTCAGCAAGAGATCTCTGTTCAGCATGTAGTCAGGGTCGACATAGGGGAAACTGTACATTTTCCCTTTGATGCTTCCAGACAAAGAAAATGCCTTGTGGTACGTAGTTATGCCCAAGAACAATACAATACGATTGGCCTGACTCTTATATTTAAGTCATCTATCTCCTTACTAAGAAACGTTGGACAAATCACAAGGTCATACGTTCTTTATGAAAAATGCAAAGATAAGCTGGACATGAACAATCATGGCTAGCTCAGCCGCATACCAGCACAAATGTTTGCCTAAAAATCACAGAATACAGAATATTGAATACATGATAAATGACCAGAAAAGAATTACAAAAAGTATTAGCAAGTAGATTAGTCGATTTACCAGCATCGCCTAATAGAAAACCTTTAGAATTTGAAAAACAAACTAAAAGCATGTCTCTTAATTTTAACGAATAGATTAGTGGTTGAGGAATCTGCATCAATTATTTGACATAAAAGAATCTCTCATAATTTGAAATATTAATATGGAACCACATTACAATGAAAGGGGCTGAAACATCTTAAGAATATACTCTTCCAATATTACGAGCTTTCAGTCAAACCAAATAGTGGATATGTATGGTGTTGTTGCACAGCAGAAATCCACACATAACTTGATGTTTACAGGTGCTACTTGTTATCTTTATTTATTTTCTTGGGGTACAAAATCTTCTACAGCTAAAATGCGGGATTAAAACTCTTTTTCGAGCTGAAGAATCAGATATAGCTCTAGCTAGGCTTTTAAGATCTGCAGAAAAGTTGGGGCATTTTCTCTTGGGAGAAATTCGTTCATTTTTGCAACATCATATGTTCACTTCATCATTTTCCAAAATTTCCTTTTCCATATCCAAAATGTGGTTTGGTCCCACTAAAAAAAAGATTAGCAAAATAAAACTATTTACTGATAGCAAATAAAGGTGTGTGGTACCTACCTGTCTACCTGTGTTTTCATTTCTTCTCCTACCACTTTTTCCATTCTTTTTTCTATTTCCAAAACTAGGTAAAGACATTCTTCATTTTCCATATTTCCATTTAAGTAAAAATGGCATCAGAGTATCTGATTTTCTGGGAACAAGATGAAATGTATGGTTCTTTCACCATTCTTGCCTATAAATTCTCTTAAATAAAGTAACTCTCTTACAACAACAACAACAACCCACTTGAATCCCACAAGAGTAGGGTCTGGGGAGGGTGTGTGTGTGCAGACCTTGTCCCTACTCGAAAGTAGAGAGGCTGTTTCCAAAGAGACCTTCGGCTCAACGTCAAAAGTTGCATTGATTGACTAACTGCTACTTCATTAATTAAAGAAGCGCAGACAGTTTAGAGATCATTTTTGCTTTATTTCATCACACCCCAAAGCCAAAAAATAGTGAATTTTTGACTCCATCGAAGATGATGGACAGACATACTATCTTAGTTTCTCTAAAGTTAAGGGGCTGTTGTGTGAAAATTACAGCAACCTTGCTGTGGGGCTTTATCAACAGCCCAAGTCATCTTGCTTTCAATCTAAAAATAGCCATTCAATGATTATGATCATCCCGACCTCACTAGACTACCAGAGAGATTTTGACTCACCGTCTAATACTCGCTTCGTCCACAAATAAACTTCCCGTTTACTATTCATAGGGTCAAACTTTATTCACTTTGTTGGCCTATTTTTGTCACCCATTTGATAAAATAATATAGTCATGTCACCTCTAGTTTTGTAGATCTTTTGATATAGTTTTTTAATCTGTAATTTAAATTTTAAATTTTACACCATTTTTCAAATAAAATGATTTGAAAATAACTTCAGTCAAACATTGTAACGCGCAACGGGAAGTTTATTTGTGGACGGAGGGAGTATTTGCTTTTAATCACAATGCAAACATATATTTTTTGTTAAATTTTAGTAAAGCAAGTATAGGGAGCAAAGTCTAACATATATACATAATGCTGCTAAAATTTAGAGCATACCAACTTTAGAGTAGAAAGAGCTTGATTAACATATAGTATGAGCCTCAATTTGTTATGGAGAGAAATCAAGTCTCCCCTCTGCTCATTTAACTCATGGACCTTTCTTGCAGATCCCACCAAATTTCCGTCCAGCAGCCGTATGGACTCCTTAAGTTCTCGTAATCTTATACACCCTCCAACAATCTTGGCATTTAGGTCCTCCAGTTGACCCTGAGCTTCAAAAAAAGAGCTCGAGCGCAACGAAATCTCCCGCACCAAGTGCAGTTCCACTACATCCAAATACTGTGAGAGCTTCTCTTGCAGCACCAAATTCTCGGTCGTGGTCCGGAAGGGGCAGGCTGCCTTGAACGTGGCACCCTCCTCCAATTGAAAATCCTCTTTAAAGTAAAGTGCTGGAACTTCCCGTAGGCAGGCAACAAGCGCATTCTCACCTCTCTGTCCCTCAAGGGACTCAAACTTACTGTGTTGTTGGATGTCGTGGAAACGGGCATACTGGTCGGAAATGGAGGACATGTATGGAACGAAATCGGGCCGGGTGATATCAGATCCGGGTTTGGGCGGAGGTGGAAGTTGGGCAAATTCAGGGACTGGGATAGGCGCCGAGGCAGACCACCACCAGCCGTCAGACTTCCCACCATGAGGATTGTTGAGAATTGAAGCTAAGCTCTGGCTATGGTTGTTGGAATCCGAAACCGTTCTTGATATCTTAGCGTTGAAACTTTCTTGAGCTTCGAACCTTCCCGACGAAGAGGAAGGCTGCGATTCCATCTTCCCCGTCAAGATCTAAAGACCATAAACAACAAGGTGATGCACATGCATACGCATAGTGCGGGCGTGATCCGAAACGCGGAGATAATGGACAGATTGGGTCTTAACGTGGCTAAACCATCATGAATCTCAGAGTCAGCTACAAAGGGTACAGCGTAGTGGTGGTGGTGCGAGTCGGGTCCTGTCACTACTCTTGTTGGAAAATGTTTGAGCCGGCAAGAAATCCAATACCCAATTTCCATAATTTACATAAATAAGACTAAAACATAATGACTTTCTCTATAGGATTTTTATTTTCTAATGTAGTACTATTGATCATTATCTATTAGTCATTATTCAACTAAATGTCCAGCATCACTTGGACATTATTCTTTTCAATAGTCATTAATAAGTCATATTTAGGGAATAAAAAAGTTTAAGTCCTACATTGAGAAATAACGTATGTTTTAGTTCTATTCAGTGCAAATTTCACATTTCCAATAACAAAAAACACAAAATTTATGTATCTTAGTTTGAGATGTGTTACTATGAGACTGTGTGGGAATAGCGTTAGTATTTTGGAAAAAATTTTAGTGGTGTAGATAACTTTGAGAATGTCAACGCTAAACGCTGCCCGTAGATAGTTTTTTCAAAACGCTAACGTCAATCTCTAGCGTTATTCCCAAACAGATATCCACTTTTTGACTAAAAACTTGTTCTTTTCTATTTATTATTATTATTTACTCCCTCCGTCCTCAAAGATTGCCACAATTTGACATTTTTGGTCAAACTGTGGCACCATTTAAACACGAATTAAATATAGTTTAAAATAATTAAATATTACTCCCTCTTTCTTAAAACTTTCTTCCCACTTTCCCTTTTTCTCCGTCCTAAAGCTACCTTCCCATTAGAAAAAAAAAGATGACAAATGACATTAATACTCTCATGTATTTACACCAATTATCTTCTAAATCTATATTTTGAATGATTGCAAAAAAAAATTCAAAAAATCTTTTTTAAGGAGGGTAAAATTTGAAGTCAAAGCCAAAAATTAAAAATGGGGAAAAGTCAAACTGGGAAGAAGGAATTAGGACGGAGGGAGTATAAAAATTTGAAAATTTAAAATTATATTTTAAAATAAATCCAATTTTACTAAATTTACATTATAACTAAATATACATTTTTCATAATTCGTGATCAAAGAGTGTCATAGATTGACCAAAAAAGTCAAACTGTGGCAATCTTTTAGAAACAGATGGAGTATTACTTATTTTTATTGGAATCAGTACAGATCAAATCAAAAATAGCTTTAAATACAACTACATTCAATTCAGATGAGACAGCTTAGATCGAAACTTATTCAATTCAGATCAGGGGATGATAACAAACAATCTACTCCATTTATGTAAAATAGGTAAATTCCTTAAAAGTTAGCTAACATCTCATATCATTCCCTTCTTCTATTCCTAAGGGCAAAGTGATCCATTTAGCCATAAATATTGTGGATGTAACTATAATAAGGGTGGTTATAGCAGAACCCATTCCAAAAATATACAATACTCCTTTTTTATCAGAGGGAGGGGGACCCTAAGTACAAAGCCTAGATGCTAACAATACCACGTCAAAGAGATACAACACCCATCAAGTAATCTTCAATGAGTCCACACACACCGGGCGGAGGAACCACATGAACACACCAATTAGGCTCTTGAAAGACACCAAAACTCGCCATTCAATCTGTAACTAAGTTCTATTCGCGAGGGATATGGCAAAACGTGATCCCCCTAAACTTGTCTTTCCACTCTATGATTTTTTCAAGAACAACCCGAGCAGGGCCTTTGAGAAGAGTTTGCTCGTTTATCCACTTGATCACCTCGGGAGCATCTGTCTGCACTTCAATGTCGCGCACACCCTGATTCCAAGCCCACTGGAGACCTTTAGAAATAGTCGTAGCCTCAACTTCTGCCACATTCACTCCTAATTTAACCTGTGAAACCTATCTCCCATTCGCCATCTTTGTTGCGAAGGACTCTTCCATAGCCATACATGAAAGCACCCCTGTGACTTCCTTCAACATTGAGGGTCCACTCATGATTTTGAGCCTTCCGCCATCAAAGAAGTTGACCACCACTAGAACTAGACACCTTCTTGTTCATATGTTGTCTAACGAAAGGGGCAGAAATTTCTCTTTTAGCTTCAAGGATCCAACTGACTTTGCGTTGTGTGTCAATCGAGTCCTCCCCAAAAGCTACAGAATTCTACCATCTCCAGATCCACCAGCACGTAATTGCAAAAATGGTCTCTCGGTCATTGACATAAGAAGTTCTTTGCTGCGAGATGTTGTCTGAAACCCATCACCTCATGCTTATGTTGTCATCAAGATCATCCCGAATACCAATACCACTCTAAACTTGTTTAGACTTGGGGCATGACCTAAAGATATGCGTCGTGGTCTCATCATGGCCTCCACAAGTTGGGCAACCACCATTCAAGGTGAGGCCTCTCAGTTTTCATTTGCCATTCCTCATAACTCTCTCGTGACTAATGGTCCAAAGTAGAATTTTCATCTTACTTGGGACCTTCAATCTTAAAATGCTCAACCAATCTCTATCATGTAGAGACTCATTAAAACCTTTAATCAGACTATACATAGATTTAACAGAGAACTTACCGGTAGACTCTAGTCTCAGTAAACTTTTTCTGGCCTCTCCGTTTCGTCATCTATGTGCTCAGACTCAATGAGTGAGATAATGTTCACTAGTAGATCAAAAATTTCCTCCCATTTCCATCCTCTGGAGTCGTCCAAAAAATCAGCTACACGGCGAAGTTGGTTGTTTCTCAAATTAATGTCTTCCACAAGGTCAGCAAGTGGTTTCTCTCCAACCCAAATATCAGTCTAAAAGTTTATCTATTTGCCACCAATAATCTTATGTCAAAAGAGAGAACCCACCCTTGGCATAACCTTGACAATACTTCTCCAAGAATTTGATGATTTTCTATTTTCTTTGAATAAAATTTCCCCCAAATTGGGCCTCGCATACTTGTTAAGAAGGACTTTAGCCCACAACATGTCACAATTTGTGAGGAGCCTCCAGCCCAGTTTAGCTACAAAAGCCAGATTCATTTCTCTAGCAGCTTTAATTCCAAGGCCACCCATGTCTTTTGGTTGTGTCACAATCTCCTAATTAACAAGGTGGAATCTTTTATACTCACGTGTGCTACCCTAAATAAAACCCCAAACTCTCTTATCAATAGCTTCCAAAATCCCAATCGGTAGGATCACAGTTTGCATGGTGTAGTACGAGAAAGTGCTTAAAGCAGATTGTGCCAAAACACAATGCCCGGCCATAGTGAGAAGCTTTGATTTCCACCCCCTTAGTTTTGCATCCAATCTTTCAATAATTTGTCCAAACATGTTATTCGTAAGCCTCCCATGTACTGATGGAACACCAAGATATTTACCCAAATTCTGAGCTTGTGATATCCCTGCTAACCGAGAAACTGCTTGAGCTTCATCCTCATTAACATGTTTTGAAAAGAAGATTTTTGATTTGCTGAGGGTGACTCATTGTCTTAAAGCCCGACTGAACTTGTCAAGACACTCTCTGAGGATCATAATATGCTCATCAAAAAGCACCATATCATCACCAAAAAATAAATGAGACAAATTAGTACCATACTTGGAAGTATGAACCCCTTTCCATCTCCCTCTTTGAACCTCGTCTTTTATGAGGATCTATGCATACATATGCCGAACAAATATGGTGAGATAGAGTCACCTTGTCAGATACCTCTCGTAGGCTTAATCCAATTAAGTTGTTTTCCATTCCAGGTAACACCTAGCCTGGTTGTTTCCATACAAGTCATAATATTCTGAATCCAATTATATTTCATGCGTGTTTCCACCAGCGTATCCCCAATGAACTGCCAATCAAGACGGCCACATGCACTCTCTAAATCAATCTTCAAAACCCATATATTTCATTCATCTTAGGGTGTTGCGCATGGTATGGAGGACTTCTTGGCAACTCAAGATGTTGTCCTTGATTTGTCTATCGGGGACGAAACTAATCTGCTCAAGGCCAATGAGATCTTTTAGGCCCGGTTTAACTCTATGTCTTAGTGATGATTTATACACCACCTTGCATAGACTAATGGGTCTAAACTAATTTATACTCTTGGGACTTTGGATCTTGGGAACGAGGGTGACTTGGTTATCATTAATACCATCCTCTAAGCGGCCATTCTTCATGAAGTCCGTAACCTGTTTATAGACGGAAGTGCTGACCACCCCCCATGTTTTCTGGTAAAACCCAGCATGGAAACCATCTGGACTAGGAGCTTTTAAAGGGGCCATATCAAACAGGGCATGTAACGCCCCGAAATCCGGCTTAGTATTTCAATTTATTTATAAAATTAATTAATTATTAAGCCGGTCAATACGAAGATTATTTTCTAAATTTGCCTTAATTAATGAGGGTTTATCCTACGGTGTAGAGCTCGCTGTTCTAAACCCGATAGCGCAAACAGATTGTGAATTGGATTTACAGGGTCCATGATATGACTAACAGATCAGTTAATTGGGGTGAAACTTATCCTAATTGGACAAGAAAATATAAATTGGGGCTTAAACTTATTAAATATAAATATAATGCATCAGGGGGGTTATAGAGTTCTTCGCGTATTGCATGACTCTCTCTCTCTCTCTACCCGTTTGATTCCCGCTGTCGTACCACCGACCGGAGACGCCGACCGAGAAGCTGACGCCGCCCATTGCCGCCGTCTCTCTCCCTCCCTGTAGAAAGAATATTTTCATTGAATAATTGTGTAGAGAATATATCAATATATACTAGAGGCTTCAATCCTAATCATAGTAGGAGAGCCACATTAGGAAACCTATACAAGTATGGTAACACTATAATTAAATATAATTAATATATTTAGCATGCTCCCGGCTACGTCGGATGTGGAGGAGGTCGGACGCCTAGGCTGGATTTGAACTCGAGGAAGAGCAGGGACGGTAGGCCTTTGGTGAAGATGTCAGCGTACTGGGAAGAAGAGAGCACATGAAGAACACGAACCTGCCCAAGTGCTACTTTGTCCCGAACAAAGTGTATGTCGACCTCCACATGTTTGGTCCGCTGGTGCTGTGCCGGATTTGATGATAGGTAGACGACACTGATATTGTCACAGAAAACAAGGGTGGCACGTCTGAGTGGCTGCCGTAGCTCAAGGAGAAGGTTGCGGATCCACGAAGTCTCAGCTACGGCATT